GTGCACACGCGCATCAGGTCGGGTATTCCCATCAGGTCCCAGGTCCAATCGGGTCCATTGTGACCTCTAAACTCCACCTACGATTAATTAGTGTTTTAAAAAACGGCAAGTCGAACCGGACTCGCCCGAGTTCGACTCGAAAACACTCGTGCGCCGTGCGGGTTCCAACCAAAAACCGGGAACCTCTTGGTTCTAGAGTGGAACCGTCGCCGGTTTAGCCCGATTCTAGAGTGGAACAGCCGATTCAGCCCGGTTCACACATGTGCGGGCGTGCTCCACACACACTCATACGCGCATACGTGTGTCCACGCGTACGTGCAAGCGTGCCCCACACACACTCACACGTGCATGCGCGCATTCAAGTGCATGTGCAAGCGTGCCTCACAACACTCACACGTGCACACAAGCGCACGTGTGAGGTTGCCCTAATATTCTTATACACATTTTATAACTCATATTGTATAGGTATTTTATATACCAAAGTTGAATACCCATCTTTCGATGTGGGATAATTCCCAAATATCATTAAATGAAAACGAAATGTAAATATAGTCTATTAATCAGCAATTTATAATCACATGTAGTTAGATGGCTTGATGGTTATGATTTTGATTTTTTTACTTGAAGTCCCAAGGTCGAATCCCCTTGGGCATGTGTTGCATTTTTTCTATGTATATAGTGGTTGGTATAAATATAAATATTTTTGTTGTATTCGAATCCCCTTGGCCATGTGTTGCATTTTTGTTGTATATATAGTGGTTGGTATAAATATAAATATTTTTGTTGTGTATATAGTGGTTGGTATAAATATAAATATTTTTGTAAGTAATATAAAAGACATAAAAAAATGAAAAAAAAAAAAATTTAATTTGTTATATAACAGTTAAGTTTTGTTGTATATAGTGGTATAATTATTTTTGTAAATAATATAAAAGGTATAAAAAAAATAAAATAAATTGTTTATTCTATTTGAAATCTCCATCTTTCTACTAACAATCTCTTTTACTAAATTTATTATAGAAACCTAAAAAAATAAATTTTTGAAAAATTGAAGTGTTATTTCCAAAATTTGTACGCATTTTATTAATTTTTACATTGATAACCAAATCTTTTATTTTATTTATGAATATTTACATTATAGATCATGTAATGTACTATTTTTCTTACATTTTTCAATAATACATTTTAAATTAGATAATATTATAAAATGTTTTTAATTTGTTATTATAAAATATTTTTAATTTTTAATTTGTTATTATTTGTCTAATAAAATAATTATAAAATATAAACTAATAATTATAATTTTCAGTATATAATATTATAATTAGTGAGCTTGTAATAATTTTGGATTATAGTTAGTTAGGCTGTAATAGTTTGGGTTTTTTTAGCGGGTTAGGGTTTTTTGCCAAAACGAGATTTTAATAGCCATTATTTCATTGATTAGTCTACTCTTTATAATAGTCCATATATAATTATATATTTTATCCATGATTTTTCTTTTATGTGATGCAAATTTAATAGTTAAAATAAGTTTATACAGGGAAAGAACATCTCAATATTCACAAATTGTTAAAAAAAATTGAAAGTTAATAATGTAGTACCCTAATTTTTTATTGGATTCTTAAAATACAACATTTATAATGAATTTTAATAATTTTTTCGGATTTTTTTGAATCTTTAATCTGATCGATTCAGCCGATTTCCGATCCGGATCGAAGATTCCCCGTTCCCGGTCACCGATCCGCTTTTTAAGCCATTGCTTTAACCCTTAGATTAATGTCAATAAAAATAATTTCTCAATGATACCCTTATGTACTTAAAAATACCAATATTTCGAGATTGGGTAGATATTATTTAATTTTTAAATGGTAAGATTAAAGGTTAGAGAACTCAAAATTTCAATTTTTTTAAAAAATTATCATCTAGTAATTTTTAAATAGTACTCAAAATTTTAGATTAAATAGTACCCAAAATTTTAGATTGAGTAGGTTTATTTTTATTTTATTATTTTAAATAAATTTTTTAAATAATACCAAATTTTAGAATGAGAAAATTCTCCGGAAAGGGTCTTTAGACCTAGGAATTGGAAGTTCAGATTCCCGTTAGTAGCGGCGAGGTTCCCTGTGAAACTGTTGAAGGGGAAGTATGAAATGCGAGTACTAAAGTTTCCTACAGTGTTAACATTTCATCAACTTTCCGATGTTGAAAACCTTCTAAGCAACTTTGGTGTAGTATCTCAGGGCATGTTTGGTAGGTATATTTTCATATGAAAATTATATTACACACGTTTGATACAAGACAAATGCTCATGAAAAATTTTCCCATGATAAAAGATTTTACCACAAATTAACCAATTCATGTAAAAATAGAACACATCTTTTGAAGTGGGGAAATATTATAACAGGTTTATTTTCACACACTGCCGTCCACTTTATCAAAGACAATTAATTCTACCAAAATAGCCCAACGGGTTAGAGAGAG